GCATAGAGAGGCACTTCACAGTTAGTCATACACCACAACAAAATAAGGTGGCAGAGAGGTTGAATCGGTCTTTACTGGAGAAGGTCTGATGTTTATTATCACAAAGTGGTTTGGAGAAGATCTTTTGGGCTGAGGAATTATCATATGCAAGCCACCTCATTAACAGGCTGCCTTCATCTACGATTAAGGAAAAAACCCCTATGGAGATATGGTTGGAAAAGCCAGCACATGACTATGATCAGCTCAAGGTATTTGAGTGCCCTGCATTTTATCATGTAAGAACAGGTAAACTGGAACCTTGAACTAGGAATGCCATATTTGTAGGATTCAAACGTGGTGTCAATGGATACAAGCTATGGGATCCAGTTGATAGGAAGATTGTGCTGAGTAGTGACGTCACGTTCGATGAGGCTTCTACCTTGAAGCTTCCCAGCTCTCATCAGGTGGAGAGCGATCCGACGAAAGAGATACCGTAGATGATGGACATCAATGCAGGTCCACATTATCCAGATGGTACAGTATCTATTAGATTGTCGACTGAGGTGACACCAGGCGAGCACGACGACGACGAGGTGGATACGGGTACAGATGTGCAGGATCAGGGACCGACAGCTCAGGTTCAGGATTTGATTGCGGTTCAGAGACAGAAAAGAGGTATACGGACGCCAACACGGTATACTGACACAGTAGTTACGTATGCACTTCCGGTGGAGAGTATTAATAAGTTGGTACCTACTACATTCAGAGAGGCCGAGCAGAGTTCGGATGCTGATTCGTGGCAGGTAGCTATGCAGGAGGACATGGAGTCTCTTCATAAGATCGATACATGGGAGCATATTCAGCTTTCAAAGGGGCGGAAGGCGATTAGTTGTAAGTGGGTATACATGAAGAAGGAGGACATTGAAGGCACTCCAGTGAGGTTCAAAGCTAGGTTGGTTGCGAAGGATTATGCACAGGAGGAAGGTATTGACTACAATGAGGTTTTCTCTCCGGTGGTGAAGAACTCTTTGATTCAGATTTTGCTAGCTTTGGTAGCGTAGTATGGATTGGAGTTAGATCAGTTGGATGTGAAGATAACATTTCTTCATGGTGATCTTGATAAAGAAATATATATGACTCAGCCATTGGAATTCTGAGCTGCAGGGAAGGAAAACCTGGTTTGCAGGTTAAAGAAATCGCTATACGGTTTGAAACAGTCTCCTCGATAGTGGTATAAGCGATTTGATGATTTTATGATTGGTCATTCGTACACTCAGAGCCAGTTTGATTCTTGTGTGTATTTTCACAAGTTGAAAGGAGGTACGTACATCTATTTGTTGCTTTATGTCGATGACATGTTGGTTGCCTCTATTTCCAGGTCTTCTATAGATGAGTTGAAGGCATAACTTTCAAATGAGTTTGAGATGAAGGATTTGGGTGAGGCTAAGTGTATTTTAGGGATGAAGATCGGCAGAGATAAAGAGAAGGGCAGAATTTGTTTGACTCAGATAGCTTATCTGAAGAAGGTTCTACAGCGATTTAACGTTAGCATGGAAATGAAGCCTGCTGGTATACCTTTGGGAACCCATTTGAAGCTTTCAGTTGATCTTTCACCAAAGACAGTTGAAGATAGAGGGTTGATATCGAAGACTCCATATGCGAGCGCGGTTGGAAGCTTGATGTATGCGATGGTATGTACGAGGCCAGATTTATCTCAGGCGGTGAGCATGGTTTCGAGATACATGCACGATCCAGGAGTGGGTCATTAGGATGCCGTGAGATGGATTTTAAGGTACATTCGAGGTACGTTCAATATTGGTTTGGTTTATGAGCAGGACACTATAGGTGGGCAGCTATGCATTGACTATGTTGATTCAGATTATGCCGGAGATTTGGATAAGCGCCGATCTACGACGGGATATGTGTTCACTTTGACACGTGCGCCGGTGTGTTAGAGATGCACCTTACAGTCTACAGTGGCTTTGTCGATAATAGAAGCAGAGTATATGACAATTACAGAGGCTGTGAAGGAGGCTATTTGGCTTCGAGGACTTTTAGAGGAACTTGATATATCACAGCGGTCCGTTACTATTCATTGTCATAGCATGAGTGCTATCTATTTGGTGAAGAATCAGGTTCTTCATGCGAGGACGAAGCACATTGATGTTCGTTATCACTTCGTTTGGGATGTTCTTGAAGATGGAGATGTGGAGATAGTGAAGGTCCACACGAAGGATAATCCGACGGATATGCTCACAAAGGTTTGAAGATGGAGATGTGGAGATAGTGAAGGTCCACACGAAGGATAATCCGACGGATATGCTCACAAAGGTGGTTCCGAGCAACAAGTTTGATCGAAGGTCCACACGAAGGATAATCCGACGGATATGCTCACAAAGGTGGTTCCGAGCAACAAGTTTGATCACTGTCGAAACTTGTTGCACATTTGTGATTGTTGAGACCGTTAGTGGCCATTTGGTAGAACTACGATTAGCTTGATCCCAGCCAGGGGGTACGTAGGCAGCCATGGTATAATGGTGCAGCTGTTTTGGGCCTGGTTTGGTGCTCGTGGTGTTCTTCTGGTGTTCGTCCAAAATTTGATGTTTATCAAATGATGGACGAGGTAGAGAACTGAAGAACGCACCTGGGCGAGTAGGCGAGATCGAACTCGCAAGCGAAGGCGGGGCTCGAGGCGAGATCGAACTTGCCTGTAGGCGAGCAGCTACGAGCGAGCAGGTACAGGTGAAGTCGGACTCGCCTGTCGTGTGCGCGGGGCTCGAGGTGCTCGCGCGGCGTGGATGGGAACCAGCTGGCTCCAGCTGGATGATCCAGCTTCGAGCTCCCCCTAGGGTTTCCTATAAAAAGGAACCCCTTTCGCGATCTGAGGCTGAGCGGAGCAGAAGAAAAATAGTGGCATCGGCTTCTTCCTTTTCTTTCTGCGATTTGTGAAAACCCCTTTTGTCCCTGTTCTCATTTATTGTGGAGAAGGTGTTGGTGATATTTAAGAAGGGGATTTGAGTGATCAAGAAAGAGATTGAACAGTGTCTTAAGTTAAAACACTGTTATTGTTTTGAGAGATCTCAAGCTTGAGGTCTTCTCTCTTATTTGTAATTTCTTGTGGAATAATAAGAAATTATTTGTGCCGCTCCCGTGAACGTAAGCAAATTGCCGAACCACGTAAAATATCTGTGTTTGTGATTTGCTTGTCACTATTTGTTGGATTGTACTCGTGTTGAGTTTGTTAATCTTCTCCCGTGCTCACGGACTCGTTCGGTGTGCGAGCACGCTTCCGCAAAGGCGCGCAACATGATGTTGTACTTGAAGGTTTTACTGAAAGCACCATGGAAAAAAAAAACTACTGCTTTGCTTTTCTCTCTATTTTAGAGGAGGTCATTGGAAATGAGGAAGCTAGCGGAGGGAGAAGAAGATTGCATAGGTTGATAAAGAAGATCTCCTTCTTCTTTTTCTTTGTTTTGATTTTGGGTTTTGATTTTTGGGCTTGATTCAAAAATTCATTACTTCTGTCAATATGAAGAGAGAATTAGATTGAATTTCTGAAACTGTCAAAAAGAGGGATGCAGGCATGTTGCCAAGGAAGCTACGAGTGAATTTTTGAATCCTACGAGGCTACGGCAGTAAAATTTGTTACCGAGTATTACATGCATCTCTCTCCTTTACACATTTTCTAATAAATATTTATTTAACCAATGAGTTATTCTTTACCTTTCCAATGGACTCCAACGGAAGAGTCATATTTATTCAAATCGGTCATTAATCTAACAACATATTCATATCCGAGCCGGCGTGGGTGAAACAGTACTTATCATGGAATTGATCAACAACATTGCCAAAGCTCAAGGAGGTGTATCCGTATTTGGCAGAAATAGCAGTTGTCAAATGCAGAAGGCGAAGCTGAGTTTGGTTTCGGGTGTGATCGATGCGACTTGACGGAGCCAGGAATGAGGGGAGAAGCTCGAAGCCGAGAAGATGCCGAGATGAAACTTTCTTCTATAAAAAGCCAAGTTACCAGATTGTGCACAGGGAGGACGAATTCCTAACTTGGAAAATAGTAAGTATAAAATTCATTTAGAATTTCTTCCCAAAAATTACTTAACCGGCTTGTATTACTTTGTTATTTTTAACATTCTGGAAAAGGAGTTGTAAGAGAAGAGATTCTAATAAAGAAACCTATAGCATATCACCAAAGGTCTACTTTCAAAAAAAAGATATCATAAATTTGTATAAATTTTTCTTAACACCTTTTTTTCCCAGCGTGAACGTCATACCTACGGAGATTATGAAGATAGTGGTCCGTTACTGATCAAGAGAAGATGAATTTAAGGAGACAATAAAAGATATCTTCGATGCTTTCACGGATGATCGTCTGAAAGTTTAAGATAGCAAAAGTGCATGGATATGCACATCCTACAGTGGAGGGAAGCGAAGAAAATGGAATAAAATCAGCTTTAGCAACATGCTCATGATAACGGTGGCTCAAAACATACACGACAAGATATTGCAAGCCACCACACCCTTGACAATTTCCTGAAGTTAATTTTAGTATATAGATGGCTTTCTCCCCTCTTGTAATTATCAGTCTTTATTTTATTCAAAAGTTAGACTCTCACTATCAGATGTAATATTTTATTTTAAATGAGCATAGGAGTTAATATTATCTGTTCTGAAATTTACTGTATTAATTTCTGAAAATACAATTTAAAATAAATTTAGGTTAGTTTATATTGATACAAAATTCTTTAATGAATGAATTAATTTCTTTATGTAAATATTTATTTAAAAAATTTTCACAGTGTCAAGTTACAGCCGTGTTTTGCACAGGTTTACGAATTAATTCTTAGTGAGTACAAATTTTATCGGTGTTAAGTACAAATTTTATCAGAACACCCACACACAAGCAGTGTAAACTAATGTAGGAGGCAATTGAAATCTCCAAACTATCCCTCAACTCTAAGAGGCAATTGAAATCTCCAAACTATACCTCAACTCTGCGTGAATTAGGCAGGGAAAAAAAAGAAAGAAAGAAAAAATAATAAAAAACATGTAAAGAGTTAAAAAATAAAACGGATATTGTGAGAAATTCTTGTGTCTACCGAATCAACTCGGATAAAAGGATAAAAAGCTCTGAGAATCTTTTGGATAAATTGCTAAGATCCGAAAAGAAACTCTCGCCGTCGCCGGTGAATTTTTTCAGAATCCTTAATTTACACGCTATCGACATCCTTTTCCGTCCACTTCCAAGTCTCCTACCGAGGACGGTCAAGAAAACAAAAAAGAAAAAAAAAAAAAAAAAAATTTAAAGGTGAGAGTTTTCTCCAATCCCCTCTTATTTTTGGGACTTCCACCCCCACCCCCCCCATAAGTTTATGAAATCTTGTTCTTCTTCCTCGTTTGAATCTGACGTAGGATTGGTTCGATTTGGATGCTAAGGTTTTCGATGCGTTGACCTTGGATCTGATCCCTGCGGAGGTTATCTTCTCTTGGGATTCGGAGGTTTGGTTAATCTTTGTTTCTTTTTTGTTTGGATCATCCTTTATATACATTCCTTTTTTATTGGTTCAGATTTCGACAGATTTAGATGTGAAAAATCTCATGCAGCGTTTTCAGCGATCTTTTTGAGATTATTTTGATATTTTGATCTTTCCTTTATATTCTTAGCGATCATTCTTTTACCACTTTCGACAGATTCAGATTTTACTACGCATCGATCTCAGCACAATCATTCTTGACATTTGTTAGCGTGTAAATCAGGAGAAATATTTGATGGTAGGAATTCATATGTTCTGTATACTTTAGTTGTTTAATTGGCGTAAGGAATACAATTAAATTCGTCAATGGTGAACAGCCGCAACTATGTAAAATAGAATTCACAGTTGTGCTAACAATCTTTAAGAAAGAGTAATAATGGACATTGAAAAAAAAATCACCTTTTGCACAATTCTGTTCACGCTCCTTTAATAAAGATAGATACTAAAGTATTTGGAAAAGATCTCCTCTGCTGACCAATATATAACGGTGATCATCCATATGATGAGCGGAAAAGGTGCATTTTACAAAGTAACTAATGGTGTGTTTGGGAGATGACTTTAGGGCTTGTTTGGATTGAGGGGAATAAGGGAGAAGGGAAGTTAGGGGAACCATTCACCTTGTTTGGAAACACTTAGGAGGTGAAGTTATAGTTTGGAGATTTCAATTTCCTAGAGTGTTATCAGATTGACAACAGACTTAAGCGTCCACATAGGCCTATTTTCCAAACTTGTTCTGTAGCTAGTTAATACTGTAGCTTGGCTTGCTATTTATTAGTTTTGGGTTTTTGGCGGGAGCAAAGTTTGTACTTATAGATTTCTAATAGACTCTGGCATAATGCCCTTCTGCATGTCACAATGCATAATTTCCTTTCAATGAGTTTGTAAAAGAAGTTGGAATCATGTTTTCCCATTTGTTGGGATCTGCAGTACATCGCTTAACTTCTTTGTATTAGGAAAGCCCTCGGAACTTAAAATGTAAATTACGTTATGTTATCCTCTATTTTAATGTCATGCATGCTAAGTTTGCATGACTTTATACTTTTCACTCATTAAGTTTCTCTAAACTCAACATATTTCAGGAGTCAAGAAACTCGTTTCTCAAGTTTCTAAGAACAGTAAATTGCAGATACCCTCTGATCTTTCAGTACTTCAGTAGTATCTAATGTAACACCCCTCAAGTCATTTATGAACACTTTTATCCCTTGGGTTGGCATTTTGAGAAAGATAAATTGTAGATAACCCCCTCCTTCATGAATTCAGTGGTGATAAAGTGTTAATAAACGACTTTATGAGTGATAAGTGCTGCTGAAGACATAGATGAGGAGGGTTATCTACAATTTTACCATTCTAAGAAACTTCAATATACTTGGATTTCTTGCTTTTCATTAGTAACTTTTGGCCAAAGCCTTCCATGACCTCTTGTTGGTCACAGGTAAGAAGTAATAAGGGTGTTTATTAGGTTACTTGATGCAAAGTTATCAAAATTTTCTGAAGATGTATTCTCTATCCCATTATAAGTCAGCGTGATGTAATTGTGTTTAGCAAGGGAATTGTGGAAAGATGTTTTGGATTCACAACCATTTTTTTCATTTAAGACGTGTGTTTTGGTGGCCTACTTTGTATCCAAGGGTAGTCTATGAAGCCCTTAGTGTTTGGTTTGTGTTTTCTTTGTTTATATTCAATTCTTTTTCTTTTTTCTTTTTTCTTTTTTCTTTTTGTTAATATTCAAGTCACGTGCATGTGCGTGTGTTTGTGTTTGTTTGTTTTAGAACTTTAGTTGTTGCTTTACATATGAATACAATTCCATTTGGCAGACATTTCTGTATTCCTCCTCTTGGTTAGACTCTCTGATAATTTGGATGTCCATTGCAATTACATAAACTTAAAATGTTGCGAGTAGTTAGGTTGTGCCCTGCAAAGTATTTGTGCTTGTCATTTAGAACTCTAGCTTGTTGCTTTACATATGAATACAATTCCATTTAGCAGACATTTCTGTATTCCCCCTTTCAGTTAGACTTTCTGACAATTTAGATGTCCATTGCAATTGCACAAGCTTAAACGGTTGGGAGTAATCAGGTTGCGCCCTGCAAATATCTGTTTATGTTTTGTGTTGTCCCCTTTTTGATTAATGCTTCAATGGTCCGCATGGCCAAGATACATTGATATTTTGACATCAAGTTGGCTGCTGCTTGAAAATTCTGGCAAATGTTTATGCTGCTATTTCAATTTATTATCGTGCCTCTTATCTAACTCCACTAATTAGAAAGAGTGCTAGATGAGGAAATGATCTAGTTGCTTTATCATGTTTTAAAAAAGTAATGAGCTTTATTGTTAAATATCTTTGGTTTTCTTATGCGACACTCTTGTTAAAGTGCTAAGATCCTTTAGAGGTATGCTATATTTTTAAATCATCAAGTGCTTAGCTATTTAGGAACCTAAGTATGATCGTGTATGTCTCCCTCTATAATGTTTACATGGTAAAACATATTCGAATTCTATTCGTCATTTCTCAGACTCCCTTTGGATTTTCTGAATTTTCGGGACAGTTTAGGGTGACTACAACAGTAGCATATATTCCTTTGACATCTTATGATGAAACCTTTACAATATAGATTGCTCATATTGCAATGTTCTTGGAAGGTTTTGTTTGCTTCCTGAAAGAACTGTGCAGATTTATAACATTTCGTAAATTCTATTTTATGGAAAAGTCAATAATATATTTTGTTGATGAACTATTTGGACCTATGCTAATGAATTGTTTCAATTTGCAATCCAGTTACTCCTAAAGTTAGAAATTTTGAGTCATGAGCTTGGCGTGCATCGCGTGCCACAGCGTAGACAGTCCAACACATTCTTTCCGTAGTTACTCTGTTTCAAGCTCAGAGGGTGAAGGGCGATGTGGGACTATAGTTAACTACTTGACCCGAAAGGTCCCTGCAAACAACACGACACGGTCTAAAGTCACTCCGATCTCAAACATGGCAGGAACTCAAGGCATTCCAGCAACACCTCGCCTCGTGAGGAGCTGTGCAGTTCCGAGAGACCTTGTACGAGACTGGAATTTCGATGAGCTTGTCGAATCTTAAACATCATTGATGAAGTCAAAGCTTAGTTAAAGGACCCATCTTTACTCTGCCTTTAGATCTAGGTGAAAGGGGGTTCGATGTGCATATCATCTTCCGTTAATTGCTGGCAGAAGAGACCTATGGCTAAGATTTTTTTATCAGCACCTATACATCCTGATGTCGAAATGGAGTTAGCTCTCTGTTATCTGTACTAGTAACGTGGGCGTCACATAAAATCATTTCAGCGTGTTGCGAGAAATATCTTATATTCTCTTATGTGTGTTGAAAATGCCCCTCTTATAGTAGGCACGAGTACCAGATGAATAACTCTATTTGGACATCATGGGTCTAAATGGTAATAAAATGTCCAGGAAGTGTAGAAACCCCTATTGTATAGGGCTATATCTACAACGAATCCTATCACATCTTAATCTTCCACCATTTCTTCGCTATTTTTTGCTGTTTGTGTTCTCTGTTTTCATATGGAGTCTGTAAGAAAATACGCGAGTAAGTGTAGCAGTGGCGACATAATTTTGTTAGAGCCCCTGTACATTAAAATAATGCTAAGCTGACTTACATTGCACTTACTATCTACTCCATGCGGTTCCTTGTAATCATTTCATAGCTCCTGGTAAGCTAATGGATTCTTATTTTTGATGATGCTGATAGTACTTTGCTAATGCGTTCTCATATTTGATGATTCTTATTTTTGATGATGCTGATAGTACTTTGCTAATGGATTCTTTGTATTTGATGATGTTGATAGTACTTTGCTTGGTACTGAGAACAGAAACCATCAGCTAAGAAAAGTATTGAAGCTTGAGATGCATGTTCATGTCATCTGTCTCTTCTTTTGGTTTTCCTTCGATCCACTGCAAATACTACCTTCGGTTCTCTGGAACTGTTTCTTTGACAAAAACATGACATAAGAACGCGAAATGTGTTTTGTTATTTCGAGAGTTTATTCATTTAATGTGAAGATACCGTTTTTAGGCTGGAATTCATGACCTTAAAATTTTTCTTAGTTTGTGAGTTTATTCATTTATGAGGAGAGAGTGTGTTTGAGACTCAACCTCATGATCTTAAAACCACAAAACAATAATCTTCCCGTCGCGCCATAGCTCACCTTCAAATACAAACCTCTTTTAAAATACAAGCCTCTTTTAAAGAATAGTAATAAATATGAAATTAGTTCAAATTGTTTTAGATTGTATAGAAACCAAGCTTATCAATAATACTTACTCTTGGTTGGAACCAAGATCATGTTTATTCTAGTGATCCGTCCGATGTTTGTAATTGACCTCTGGGCAAGCTATTGCAACTGTTTTGATATTAAATTATTTGGATCTACCACTGATTTTGGGGATCGGAATCCTTTCCAATTAAGTGATATTTGGAGAGTGTCCAGTTATCCCAATCTTTACGCCCTTATTCTGATTTCAATGGCTGCAATGAAGCCACATAATCTCTACAAATATTATACTAAAAATCACTAGTCTTTAACATCACTATTGTGAAAATTAGGTATTGTGATAGTAAAAATCCTAGGTGGCTTCGTCTAGTTTGGGATTGGAGTAGAGGGTAAGGATTAGGGTAATTGGATGCTCTTCAAGTACTACATAATTATAGGGAATCCGAATCCTTGATTTGGTTAGGCTTTTAAAAGTAATGAGTACACTATTGAAATCTCACTTGATAAATTTAGTTTTATGGGGATTTTTTTTAATTTATAGAAACCACCTTTAGAAGTGAGCAATTATACAAAAGCCACGTTCAAGGTTACATTTATATAGAAACCCCTGTTAAAGGGGGTTGCGGTTGCAATCAATCACATTGATCTATTTTTTTGATAAAATTTGGACTAAAATTGCCAAAATACTCTTAAAATACACATGCACCAGACACTAGGTTTCATTAAGAAGACATGTTACATGCATGACACGTGTGTTTTTAGGGTTATTTTGAGAATTTTAGTTAAAATCTAGCTAGAAGATATGTCAAGGTGATCGATTCCAATGGGAACCCCCTTTAAAAGTAGTTTTTTGTATCAATTGAACTTAGAAGATGATTTTCTTATAACCACCCTTTTTAAAAGATGGTTTACATGAAAAAAGAACTTTTTATTTTATTTTTTCTATCTAGAAAACTATTTTGTCACATAGTTTTTCTCTTTTTGTCCTGAATATTTCTCTCAAATCCTGTGTAGTTCGATATGTTTCCTTCACTCTTATCTATATCAGTATACGATTATGGTGGATATGTGTAAAATTTTTCTTCCAAAACAATATCTACATTCATAGTTGTGATTAATAAGTGAATATGAATATGATAAATATCATATTTGTTGTCACATCTCATTTCACATTTGCTCCTCTGACGAACAAATAGTACAATAATAATTATCGTCCCTACCTTCATTTTAAAGGTTTTCTAATGTGATCTAATGCAAGTACACAAGTAGTGTGTGTAACATGCAAGTGTTGGTCCCACGAGGAATGAGTGTTATTAGAAAAGTTCTAAAGTGGTTCTTGAAATGTGGCCTCGGGGATGGGTGGGGGTTGCCTGGGGGGGGGTGTTAGACCCTAGAGGGGGGGGGGTTGATTAGGGTCTTATGCTAATCTAATCCGATTTTATACCAATTAAAACTAATTAACTAATTAACAAGTTATCCTAGCAAGTATGAAATACAACATGATATGTGAACTAGGATAAACAATATGAACAATGAAATATATCCTAGCAAAGAGATATACTATGAGATATATATGCAAGGATATGAAACTAACACAAGGGTAAACAAAATGAAACAAGATAGTGGATGATATAAAATAATGAGACAATGGAGAAATGAGCAATGAGCACAAATAAGAATAAACGTCAAAGCACATTCAAACACAATCAAATGATCACGGAGTTCAGACCTTCCGTCCTACGTCTCCGCTCCCCACCCCCGGAGAGAAATCCACTATCACGACCGGGTTTTCTACGCTCACCCGAATAACGTTTACAACCACACTATGTCGGTTTTCAACGCTCACCGATCAACGTCCACTCCTCACACTCGGTTTTCTAGTTCACCGAAAACTTCACAACACACTCGGTTTTCTAGCTCACTGAAAACCTTACAATACTCACAATGTAATAACAAATGATTTGTTCTCTAATACAATGCAGTAACTCAATTAAAGCTCACACTCAAAGTTACAACTCTCACCAACCCAAATATATTATGAATGCAAATACAATAAGCTCAAGTGGGTGTGTGTAAACAATGAGTGAAATCAAAATCAAACTAAACTCAATTAAAATCTAACATATAGAAATTATGAACAAAAGAATAAATAGCTAGAAATAGAGTTTAGAAATTCTTCTCTGAAAAACAAGATGGAGAGATGGAGATTGAAGCCCAAACAAGAAGATGATCTCCTCCACTTGTAAATAGCAAAACAGCTTTAAACCAAACTCAAACCAACCATAAACCCTTATTAAAAACTTTCTTAAACTTGTTTAAAATACTCTCATTATTACTTAGATAGAAGGGGGTTTGGGGGTTTATATAGGAAGAGGAAACAACAGCAAAAATCCCAAACAAATGACAAAAAAGCCCTAGCCAATGGTAACAAGAAATAGCCGTTGGAAAGGATCTGACAGAGCGGCGGGGGGCCGCGAGCAATCAGAAACAGGAAAAAGGCTCTGGACAAGCGACGGTCGACCGCGAAAGTCTCTGGACTCGACCGCGGCGGTCGACCGCGAGAAATTTTCAGCTGACGGTCGACCGTGGCGGTCGAACGCGAAAGTTTCTGCTGTACACTATGCAAAAGACGCAGGCGCGGTCGACCGTGAACTGATACATGAAATACAGGTTTTGAAAAACTGTTTGCTGATTTTAAAATACTGTTTAAAAATATCAAATAAATTCCAAAAAATATAAAACTTTGGGGAATGATTGTAGACATGATAATAAACATACTACAATGACTGGTTTCCAAAAAGGACATCCCAAATGAAAAATATCATTATTTTACAAAATAGGCCAAAACTTGAGAATGTAACCATGTGAATTTTGACATTTTGGCTAAACCATATTTTGAAACTTTGCACAATGATTATGTAGACTTAATAAAATATGTATATGATTATTGTTAAGTCCAAAAACTAAGAATACAATATTTTTACAAATACAATAGAAAATGAAACATATAAGTATGTATATGAAAATATATTTGTTTCATATCTAAGTAGTTAAACCAAATCACAATAATAAATATGAAATATGTAATTTCATATTTGTAAACATGAAAACCCAAAACCATGCATGTATATATATAACTATATATATACATAGAAACCAAATACGTGTGTGTATATGATATTGAGCTTAAGGTACTTAACACACATAATATAAAACCTAAACTAAGTTACCCAAGCTAGATCTTGATCTTCAATAGCTTGACTTGGTACACTATACGGATGAAGCTGAACTTGGATCTTAAACTTGAATTGCATAAGCATCACTCGACAATTCCGCCAACCTCCATTTGATATTGTCGTTGAAGCGCTATTCCATCCATCATCCAACTTGTTGTTTGCCTAGAATAATTAAGAGAACACAAATACTAGATAAATAACATTAGAAGTAAATTATTTGTTAAACATCATCAAAACAAGAAGGCCAATAGGGGGTGGGGCAAGAGGTTGGTTAGAGTGTGATGTTGCAAATAAAAGGGCTAAAAATAAGAAAGAGAATAAAACAGCGAGAAGAAGCAAATAAAAGAGATGAAATGAATAAAATGATAAAACTAGGAATTTATGGTTAAATCCATTTGTTAATTCTTATTTGGATTTTTAAATTACTCTCTTTTAGTTCTCATATATTACTAGTTTGTTAAGCATAAATATCAAGTTATTCAAAACAAGCATAACCTATCATAATATCATCATTCATGAAAAGAACTAAACAACTAGATAATAACTTTAGAATTGAGAATATATAAACTATTAAACTATTTAAGATAAGTATAACCTATCAAAATTTTTTGTACAAATTATTATTATAGTTGATTAACCTAAGCATGATTATTTAAGCACAAAAAGAGAGCAATTCAAAAACCAAAAAGAAATTAAACTAGTTTCATCTAATCCTAGATATCCTAAGGAAATTAGCTACTCATACTACTCATAAAAAGCAAGAATAAAAAGCAACTACATCCTAAATAACAAAGCATGAATGAAAAGAAAGAAACCAAATCCTAACTATAAAGCATGAATGAAAAGCAATAAATTAAATCATAAACATGCAATTCTAAATAAGAAATAAAAGAGAGAAAATTGAAACTTACATTACATTGGGTTGGTCAATCTCAAGGGACTTGATGGATGCACGGCAGGGGGCTCTGAGGGTAGGGGACTCACCCCTGGGTATTTGGTTGTTCACTTACGCAAACATCATCTTAATTCGGAGTCTAAGGTCGAGGAATGCAAGAGGCTTTTACGCCGTGACATCTCCATTTTCAACGCTTTTGAGGCCACCCTACGTGCTATGGGGCAATGGATGTGTGGTACGTGCTTGAGAATCCGTGCTCTAAGTAAGCATTGTAAACATAGCATGGGACTGTCTGTTTCACCACCTTTAGAGGACGACGAGGGCAATGCGGGGT